ACTTTTTGTTATTAATATTAGTATCTACTTTCAGGTGTATTTATGTAGTATTATTTTAAATGTTAAAAAATTTAATTATAGTGCGAAACCGAACAGAATCGAATCGAACCGAACCCGAACGGTTCTAAAATTATATTTGGAACCGACGGTTCCATTTACTAAATACCCGAAAATTTCTGGAATCGAAAAAAATCGAACCGAACCGAACCGACCCGCGCCCACCCCTAAATGGCTCCTGTGAGGTTAATTACAAATTGTATTCCATTTTGCAAATTGCCCCAACCCGATGCGACGTTTGCAAAAACACAAAAAGTAAACCAAACCTCTCTCTGATTCTAAGCTCCCTCCCGCAACCCCGACAGACGCCACTGCTTAACGCTTGTGACCTCCCGTGGACGTCGTTTCTCCCCCACTGCATGTCGCTACTGATTGTGAGCCTCTCTTCTTCTTCCTCTTCTTCATTTTTTGTTTTTGTTTTTGTTTTTTAAGTTCATTTTTATGCCATTTTAATTTAGAACTTGAAGTCTTGAAATGATATTTTATATGTATTGATCATTTGATTGGTGATTTATTATGTGAATTGTGAGAATTTATTATTTATGAAAATTGAGGAATTTGTGAATATGTGATAAATGATAAATTGGAAAATTTGTGATATATGATAAATGATAAATTGGTGTTGGAAAATTAATAAACTACCTCACTATTGTGACCATAGACTTGATCAACGAAAACCCTAGCTCACCAACAATCCAGGATCTGCCATTGTGTACATCCAATGGCTATGATCTTCTATTGGCATAACCTAGACTGAGATTTCCTGCATTGGTTGAGTTATTGTAACAAGAGAAGTGCTTAAAGCCAAAAAAAAAAAAAAAAACTTTTACATGGAGTTTATGTTGGATAAAATAATAATATTTACCGTCATAAGATCGTTCATATTGGATCATCAAGAACTAATTAACTAAAAGCGGAAGCGTACCTGGATCAGACATGATTATCGCAATGAATAAGTCCTGCAGTTTTAGTCTTTCAGATCAATACGTTGTTTCTTAGTTTCTTTCTGAAGATAGGAGTCAGAATAGAATGAACTGAACATGTGATCCGGGGACTATAACCGTATATTTATACTGATTGTCCATTGACCTAATCCGGCTCATCATGGAATTAGGAATAGGCCCAGTCTCTACACATATAAGTCCATACTTTAATTAGATACTTCAAAACCCAAAATACCGAAACTTTATTAGATCACTTTAAATGGGTTTAACCGAAATTGACAGCCTTTAATTTAATATACAATATTTTACATATAAGCCTACATGTTTGATTAAAAATCCTTACAGTTTAGGGTTATGTCTGGGCGCACTTAAAACCCAAAATTGGACCATTGATACCTGTGAAATTGGACCGTTGCTTTAGACAAATTTTGCAGGAATTCTGACATACCAGAGGAAATTTTGAATAATGAGTGAAAAATGACCTTTTTGTCATAAACATCCTTCATTGTTGGGCAAGTTTAAAACCATGAAGGGGCACTCATGTCATTTTGCATGCCCACAACATTTGACCATTTTAATTGTCACTGCGGTCTGGGTCCCACTTACCTTCTCAAATGGTAAAAAAATGGATTTTAATTCAGCCAAAATGGCTCCCAGACAGCCCCTAGATAATTAATTTATGTGCCATGTGTCACGTTGTCCAATGTATAAGAATGTACTCTAACTTTCTTGGCAATGGGCAATGACATCTCACTATCACATAGATTGACGATCATCTAGACTCTAGATGTATAAATTTATTATTATGCAGAATAATATCTGCAAGTTCCTATCATGTCCATAAAAATATCTTTCTAAAATTGTGGTGAGTGCCTTGCCTATTGATATTTTTCTGCTATTTCCTTCAAACAAAGGCATAGGTCATGAGTATTGATAACATGACCATGTGACCAGCTCCCTGAATGGATTTAACATCATTCGGAGGGCTCCTCTCAATCATGTACCTCTAGAAATCTTCCTCTACTACCTTGTCATCTTCGCATTTTATATAAACCCGTCTAGTTGCACCATACTTTTCTTTAGTTTGCAAAGATTTCTTGCTCAGGTCGTCAATGAAAAATTTATTTGGTCTAATCAACATCTTGGCCAATTCCATATCCTGCGTGCAACGCATAATGATTAAGCCACAATCTCTTCTTACTAATAACAATGACAAATCCAAAACATTGCAAATCGAACCCAGAGATCATAGTGTTTCACCTCCAATGTGACAAAACAGAAGAAAACAAAGTTTTTTCTGGTACCTCAGCTGTGATAAATAGAATGTGTATAAAGCAGTGCTAATCCTAATTAAACTGAACTGGAAAGGCTTTAGAGACAGTCACCTCTAATTGGCAGCCTTTGTAAACTTTGGCTGTCATGTAATCTGAACCAAATAAAGCTGAAATCGGCAGATTTTCCCTTCTTGGATTCGATTTTAACTTGGAATCCATCAGAGATGTTATCGAGCACCTCTTGAAGTACTGTTGTAATATTCAATTTGATCAGTTCAAAATATATTGTATGCAATGAACACAACTAGATATATTCGAAAGAGAGAAGACGAATGCACAACACATAAATTGCTATTTCTGACTATACAAACCTCTTGAATAAGAGATGCTGGGGGATCTTGACAATTGGCATGTAGGCTGTGATAAAGACTGCAATAGAAATACTTTCAGGGAAACTCCACATGGAAAGAGAAATAGGAATACCACCATAACTGTGTCCAATCAATACCACCCTTTCATCATCAGGCAGAGAGGCCCTGAAATCCATCAATGGCTGCACATAATCAGAAACAGACGAAATCTCATCAAGCCTCGTAGGGTGAATCCCGCAGGATCCAAGATCCACTGTACTCACTTTATAGTCAACTTCCAACTTCAGCATCTTAACAAGTTTGTACCAGCACCAGGATCCATGACAGAAGAAAAAAGACAAAAGGTGAGAAGCACACGGGAAGCATATTTTAAAAAAAATCTTTAAACAGTGAGAACAAGAAAATAGATTGAAAGCTTCTAATAAACCTAGAAAATAGTTTTAAAAAAATGAAGTCCCTAATATTATAGTCAGGTAAATTACGTTGATGATTATTAAAGTTTTGAATGAGTACCATGCTATATGTACTCGACACATTGGTTTACACCTACGTGAGTTGACAGATTTTGATACATCGATTGTAAAACCCCCAAAATCATTTATAGTCATTATTAGTGTGGATCGTGCGTTGCACGATAACCGTTATAATTTTTGTAATTCCACAATTGAACAATAGCAAAAATAACATTAAATTGTTTCAAGTAATGAATATTCAGGCACCTTTTAAATTACACCATTTATTTAATATTTAATATTCAAATATATATTAATGCTACATTTTTTTAAACCAATTTTACCATAACAAATATAACAAAACAAAAAGTAATAAAATGAAATATTATAGTACGATTCTCACCGGATTGTTTTCTAGTTTTGATTTTTTTTTTTTTTTTT